GTGTATTTACATATAAAATTCATAGTCACTTCATTCGTACCATAATCATTGCACCTAAGGGTTGTCCGAAGAAAACATATTTAGATGATATTCTAAATAATCCATTAATTGTCGTACAAAAGTCAATTCGGTTAAAAGTTAAGTATAGCCGTAAATTAACACTTCACAGTTCACGCATAACACTTCACATAATGGAGCACAGTCCGGAGAGTTCGTTGCCCTTCATGACGGGTGGTTGGCGGCTGAGTCGGCGGCCTTGGAGGGCAGGTTTGAGGGTGTATTCGAGTTCTGGTTCTTCCCCGGGCGGGAGGGGCTCGTCATCCGCGCTGACGTCATCCAAGCGATCGGCGGGCGCCGGGGCAGGTATTGACTTGGAGATGTTGATGCGAATGCCGCCGGTTACGGGCGCGGTGGCGGGCGCGCTGTCGAGCTGTAGGTTACCGTCGATGGACGACAGGACCGTTGTGTGCGTCGTGTCGATCGTCGGCTGCGGGGACAGCTCCTCCGCCGTTATCACTGGCTCGTCGTCTGAAAATTGCATAATGTTGTAAGTTAGTTTGTCACTTGCGTTACTCTTTTACAGTTGGTATTTGGAAGAGTAGAGGATGAGCTCTAAATATTCAACCTAATCTATGCTAGACGTTGAATCTAGCTTAGAGCTTAATTTTGTTATGGACTCAAGTTCTGTAAAGGTAAAATACTAACGCTGACCAAGATCAGCTTAACCCCCCAGCTGTAGATTTGGAGTAAAAAAATACAACCTAACAAAATCAAAAAGAACACCAACCAGTTTTAATGGATCTTAGCATACTAGAAGTCAATAGAATCAGAGCAGCACTAACCAGGTCAATAGATTCCTGCTTGATTAAGATCATCAGAATGAACTTGATCTGTCAGTCAGCAAAATTAAGTCAAGAGATGTTCTACTGTCAGTGGCGTAACTATACCATCCGAGGCCCGTGGCAAATTCTGTGCATACGGCTCTTGGCGTATCTAGGGTTATTTTTTAAGGGGGCTCCGGGACCATCGCTCTGAAGCATCGCGAGGGGGGGGGCTGCGCTTAAAGTCTTGGACCGGGGCCCCTCAGGTCGGGGGCCCGTGGTATTTTGCCAGCCCTGCCACCTTATAGTTACGCTACTATTTATCTTTTTACTATTTGTTATCAAAAGTAGTTCTAACCAATAGGTCCCCGCTTGATCTTAACATTCTGACAATCAACAGAATCTAGTCAAGAGATGTTTTCCCGTTTTTTTTCTATTTTTTTATTAAAAGCAGTTCTAACCTGGGTCAATAGGCTCCTGCTTGATCTTAACATTCTGACAGTCAACAGAATCAAAATCAAATCAAGAGATGTTTTACTGTTCCTTTTTTTTCATCATCATCATCATCATTTCAGCCATAGGATGTCCACTGCTGAACATAGGCCTCCCCCAATGATTTCCACAATGGCCGGTTGGTGGCGGCCTGCATCTTTATGAGGTAGTCTTCTTTTTTTTTATTTTTTTTTTATCAAAAGCAGTACTAACCTGGGTCAATAGGCTCCTGCTTGACCTTAACATTCTGACAGTCAACAGAATCAAGTAAGAGATGTTTTACTGTTTCTTTTTTTACTATTTTTTATTAAAAGTAGTTCTAACCTGGGTCAATAGGCTCCTGCTTGATCTTAACATTCTGACAGTCAACAGAATCAAAATCAAATCAAGAGATGTTTTACTGTTCCTTTTTTTTCATCATCATCATCATTTCAGCCATAGGACATCCACTGCTGAACATAAGTCTCCCTCAATGATTTCCACAATGGCCGGTTGGTGGCGGCCTGCATCTTTATGAGGTAGTCTTCTGTTTTCAACCGACTTCAAAAAAGGAGGAGGTTCTCAATT